CGTATCTACCACCGCGCGACCAAGCTGGTCATTGGCCTCCGAAACGTTCCCTACAGTGAAAGGCTACGTAAACTCGATTTGTTTGATTTAACTTATCGGCGTATACGAGGAGACCTCATCCTGATGTTCAAGATAATAAACACCCCTAATCACCCTTTAAAACATTTGTTCACAGTTAATTTGGCCCGACAGACCCGACGGAATCCATTGGCCGTTGACATTCCATGTTCCCGCATTAACTGTCGGCGCTACTTTTTTTCAGTCCGCGTATCCCTCACGTGGAACAAACTACCAACATCTGTTGTGGATTGTGGTAACCTCGAGACTTTCAAACATTCGCTTGATGAATACATAAGATCTTACCCAACTTCCCTCATCGACATTTGACATGCAGATTACAAACAATAGAACATATATGTCATATCATTCCGTTTATCTGTATACATACACACACACCAATATCCTTTGGTCATTGTAAAGCAAAATGCTTTTTAGATCAATATAACCTTGATTTACCTTGATTTGATTTATCTAGCCTGTAACCTTTGTTAATGCTTGCCGTACTTTGTAGATTTCGAACTAGTATGAAAACAGTCTGCAAAAATTTTTTAAAGTATAACCTTGATTTACCTTGATTTGATTTATCTAGCCTGTAACCTTTGTTAATGCTTGCCGTACTTTGTAGATTTCGAACTAGTATGAAAACAGTCTGCAAAAAACCACTTTTTTAAAGAAAACCAAGTTCACTCAAATGTATTCTTCAGCCTGTGCATAATACAACAACTAGATTGTAGCGGGGCTAATGCAACAGTTTCATAAGGGTCAGGCCCAATGCACAATAGATGTTCTTCGAAGTGGGCAGGCGTATTATATTCCTCTTAGGGAGGTACCTTAGGTAGCTCTTCTTGGAGGTATCCCAGTCCCTCCACTGGACGTCTTCCTGGGGCTGGAGCATTTCATTCTACTTTTGACGGCATTATCTATTCTTTTTCACTCTGTTGAGCATTGGTGCTGTATTATGTTCTCTAGTTCCTGTCTTGAGGAAGACAAGCAACCTATCTGCACAAGCAATAAATCGTCTGAACATAAGGATTTCTAACTCATACTTGTTTTTTGTCAAGCAAAGTGCTTTTCACTATTCAGAAATTGTCACCATGTCAACAGACTGTCTGTACTGCAGGTGTGGCCAATGAATCAGACACTTTGACAGTTTGGTTTGCAGGAAAAAATATGCTGCTTAACAAATTTTCGTTCTTTTGTCAAAATGAGAGTCTCTTAGTTGTGGCATGTTTTCAATGCATAGCCGGCTTGCAGCGTAAAGAAAGCGCAAGCCAGTTTGCCCAAACCTAAAAAGAAAAAATCAAAATGCCAGGGTAGGCTTTCAGATACGGACATTCCGAACCGTAATTTCGTGCGAGCCAACGGCTGTTATGGACAAGAACACAAAGCCGTAAAGCTGAGCTGATTTTTCTTAGCAGTGTACTCCTCACAGTGTTACGAGGTTGGTCTTGTTTGGAGGGTGGTTGGGTTTGTTCAGTTCCAATAAGTATGCAACGCGTACCTGTAGTTCGGGGGCTGTTTGATGCTGTGTCCCACCAAACTGCTGCAACCGACGAAACTTGCACGCATCGTGCGCATCAAATGAACTCATTTTCATGATTCGATTTATTTTTTTCTTTGGGAAGACAATAGACATGAGCTGCAGATGACCTATGTTTTCACCCTAGCCCAGACTGCGCATGAATAAATTTGGCTAACTTCTGTTGCACTTTGCTGTAGGACAAAGAAGCGACTTGAAAGTTACATGTGGGTCCGACGATACTTTTGCTCGAAAGAAGACCCTAACTGATAATTTTTTTATGTGGTTCTGTCAAAAACAACATCCAGCGTACACATGAACGTTACAGTTGGTTTTACAATCAGTTACTTCTTCCAACTTGCTGTATTCAGTGAATTTCAAGATTAAAGCCATTTCAACAGTCAGGCTTAAATTGTGATTGCCAGATGAGTGACAAAGGTCACAGCATCACACTACAGCTTTGATCGATTATTCGTTCAATAGCCCTGAGTTTTCAAACCGTTGCACCACACAAGCCAAGGGTATGGGACTTTTATTTCAGTAGTGTTCGGTTCCGGATATGATTGATGTGGACAAATTCTGGACTAACCAGCATCGGACTTATGCAATAAACCATGAGTGAGTGCTCGTTCTATGGGTTTGATGTGACTGGCTGTGTGTGATTGGAGTTCCTTCAAAGTGGGGTTACCATGCATCTCTAATTTTCCACTGACATCAGACTGAAGAATATGAGAGCGCACAATTTCCCACAAATCAGTCAGAAGCATTCGAGCTTTTTTCCGATTCCCTGCGCACAAGTATAACGCATCGATTTTCATTTGGCCAGCACATTATTCGGGAAAAGACATCGTTCTGGCACCACTACTGACGTCATGCTGTCGATGATGATGATGATGATGATGACTCACCGCAACAGAAAACTCTTAGTGAATTTCATGAAGGTAACTTCTACGGCTATGCACATACTGTTGGCTAGCGTTTCTCCATCACGAATTTTGGTACAGATCGACTTAACTTTGGATATAACCTATGTAAGTTCTTGAGTGCAACCAGACGCAGCAGTCAGTCAGTTAACCAAGCAGTTAATACTGAGGCGCTGAGAGTAGACCTCTGTTGTGCTAATCACCAACCCACAACTACGCTCCCCAATAATGCACTGATGATGTCACCTCGATTGGTGATGAAACGTTTGCAATCGAATTGCCCAACTCAGCGAACAAGCCAAAGACCACATACGATTCTAACTGCGCTCACATTGCATCAGTTGTGTGGGGAGTAAATTAGCCATCAGTCATTGGCACACAAGGGCATGGTTGACCACTTGTCTATTCCCACTTCTTGGAGAAGTTCTCATGACAAATGATGTTCAGTAAACAGTGAACCACGTGCTTGTCGTTGCACTTTTCAATGCTACAACCGCCCGTAATCCAACACGATACAACTTCATTAGTGAGGTCCTAAATGGCCCGAGTGTCGTTCTCCCGGTTTTCGAGTCCCTTCCAACTTGGGCACTGAACCACCCAAAAAGAAGGGTGCGGTCATTTATAAGTGAAGGTCTAACCATACTTGACAGTCCACCGTAGAGTTAGTTCTCTTTGATATCAAGGATTCAAATTTCCTGGTTAGTTTTCAAAATGTGCCCTAAATAGCCAGTGTCGGACAGCCATGATTCACGAGTCGAGACGGTTGTCCATTATTCTGTCATCCACATGAATTGCATCTTTGATCTCAACACCTTGTTCACTTTAGCTTTCTTTTGTTGTTTCACTCCAGTAGAGGGTGTGGTCAGAGACAGCCTCTCACAGCTTTCCTCTATCAGCCAGCTGAGTCTCACTAAGTGCTGCAAGCTTGTGAGTAGGATTTGAATTCTCTTACCACAAGAGCAGCTCACCTTCTAAGCCTTCCCATCTATTCTCATTTAGGGGAGTCCTCACATTTCAAGCTCCATGGAAAATGTTTAGGCCTGATGGAAAAATAATCGTTCCAGAAGACTTTTGGGCGAACAATAAATGGGCCGATTGCTTTTCAAACTTCTCTCAAATGCGTTTGCCTACTTTTCTTGAAATCTTACGTCATGTGTAGGAAAGGGACTGTTGAGATTAGATAGGAAAGTTAATTTTGGGGTACCTCAACCCGAAGGCCTAACAAATGAGGCGATGGCGAAGGAAGTGATGTATGGGAACTGAGTCTAAATGCTACTGCTCATAGCATGGACTTTCTAAGCGGCACCGCGCTGCCAATTCGACCACAGTGACTAGTGCATCAGCTGTTATGACCGAAGCCCAGGTGGACGGGAATCGCAGTTTTTAGGACTGAGTTTTTCTTTGGCGTTCTCTCTAGGACGAAGGCAATCTAGCGCTATCTACGGTAGCCTATAGTTGTTGTGCAGAGGTTTTACGAATAACCGGCATTCGGTCGACGGAAAGCCGGACCAGTCTACATTTACCGGTGATCAGCATTTGTCCACAAGAAATCGCATAAATCAGATCTGAACCTTTCGTAGTCGAAGACGTCGGTTATAATAAACACATTCCAACACATGCTCCAAACAGAGCAGAGAACCTTTTGGATGGTTGAAAAAGGGAACAAAAAACCAATTGAGAGTCTGACCTACCTATTAATGGCAACGTACGTTCATTAATTCACTCATTCACGCCTCCATTCATTCAGTCGATAATTAATTGATTAGTTCAGCCATGCCTTCAGTCACGCGTTCCTTCATTCGTTTATCCATTCAGTCAGGTGTCCGTTTATTTATTTATTTATTTATTTAATACTTCATCAATTCATTCTTTATGTACCAATATGATATTCACAATTTCTCCATAACTATAACTTCGTTTGACCTGGATGTCCAAGCTGGTTAGCGTACTGCTCCTGAAGATCATGTTGATGCTTTTGCTGGTATTGTGGTCGTTATCGTTGGTTTAGCTTCCGAAGAAAATGATGATTGCAGTGATTATGGTAATGATGAGTGGTCATGCGTTTAATTCCATTGATTTGAATTTTGGTTTGTCCGATCCACGTGGGCTATCCTGATCTGGACTGATAGGCTCCGTCTCGTTTCGACATAAATGGATTTGTGATTTATCGTTTGAATAAACCACTACTTTTCATTTCAGTGCTTGGCACAACCTTGTTACCCCGAGTGATCAGCCTTGTCCAGGTAATGCATTGCTGCGTGTGCCTTCTCAAATACCACCGAATGACAACACCCAAATGCCAATGAGGAGCACGTCAGATGATTCACAAAGTCTTGACGAGAACACCACAAACTCAATGGCTGAACCTGAAGAGGAATTAGCATTCGGTAATCGATATCTGGTGCATCCCAAATTTTCAATTATTAACGGCCTCCAACCAGAGCTTGAACCCATAAATTTGTCACCAAGGCAAAATAACCAGAACGCTGTTGTTATGAGTAGAGAGCAAGCTCTGGTTTCACTGTCTGAGAAGACATCGTATCCGATCCTTCAAGAAAATGGTCAGCGTCGCTACGGGCCTCCGCCAGATTGGGTTGGACCACAGCCTCCGCGAGGATGTGAAGTTTTTATTGGGAAAATACCACGAGATTGTTTTGAGGATGAACTCGTTCCGATTTTTGAAACGGTGGGCCGTATCTACATGTTTCGTCTCATGATGGATTTCAGTGGCTGTAATCGTGGGTATGGATTCTGTATTTATACTAATCGTGAAGATACTCGGAGAGCTGTGGCTGAGCTCGACAGTTACGAGATTAGAAGGGGCAAGATGTTGGGGGTTTGCTTGAGTGTCGACAACTGTCGCCTCTTTGTTGGTGGTATTCCAAAAAACAAGACTAAAGACGAAATTATGGCTGAAATGCTAAAGGTGACGGATGGAGTAAAAGATGTTATTGTCTATCCCAGTGTGGCTGACAAGACGAAAAACAGAGGTTTTGCGTTTGTGGAATATGAGAATCATAAAGCCGCAGCAATGGCGCGTCGCAAACTAATACCAGGTCGGATACATTTATGGGGTCATCAGATCGCTGTGGACTGGGCGGAACCCGAACGTGAAGTGGACGAAGATATAATGTCTAAGGTGAGTAATGATTCATAACAAGCAACCAGAATAAGGTGGACAAGTTTATGAAGTTGGATAATCTTAAATATGAATCTCTACGTCCGAAGCACTGAACTAAACTGAAGGTTTCTAGTTCCCAAATAGTGATGTCTATATATTGCCTGAGGAAAACAGAAATCCTCGATAATATCATCAGCACCATAGCTTAGGTACTGGTATTAATGAGAAGAAACACTGTGTTAGGAAGGTTCACAAAAGCGTAAGCTGAGAAGCCTGGGGGAAAATCCTAGAACAGCTTGGTGATTGTCTTACTGTTCAAGAAGAAAAATGCCTTTTGTCTCCACATTTTATGTCATTTGAGAAGAGAATTTACAAGGCTGCGGAGGACTGCTCAGGCCATTGTGTCAGTACATCATCATCATCATCATCATCATCATCATCATCATCATCATCATCATCATCATCATCAAATCATCAAAGGCTTGTGTCAGTACACTTATTGCCAGAACTCTCACAGAAAAACTAAACTTAAATGTGAGGAGATTTTGGTAACTTTGGACTGATTTCTCTCTGTAGGTGAAAAAATGAGAAGCATTGTACAGCTATTTCATTCTTATTTGGAATCATCAGCAGTGCAAGTCTCACGAGCCAATCAATACATGACTGCGTGACGTGATTAACAGATGAGTGGCCGCATGTCCTATCTAAGTACCAGTTAATCACACTGCTACCGAGCAGCTCAAAGTCGGAAGACTAAGCGTCCAAACCACATGCCGAGTGGTCATGTGTTCGAGACACTCTGGAGTTTCGTGAGATCCACACTGATGATGATTTCCAATAAGGATGAAACAATTGTACGACGCTTCATAACTCTTCAGCGTAGACTGACCTCACTTTCAGGACGAAACCTCAACCGTAAACTCGGCCCTATTAAAAAGTTGGTCATAGTAGCCAAACGTCAGTACCAAAAGTGAGCCGTTAGAGGGGGTTAGGCCGTTGGATGTAAGGAGTACTGTAGGGAGTACCGACTTGACAATAAACAAAACACTTTCAGAGTTGTGTTGAGCTGTGCAATGCTGAATACCACTTCGGAAGAGTGAATCTACTTATCGAGATAGAGACCACCTAAAGTCGACCAAACACTAGTTTACATGCATAATTCTCCCACACAACAGGACCATTAACCAGCCCGTTCAAAGTCAAATCAATGGGTACCGGTAAAGCGGATAAACAAACAAATGGACCAGTCTACTTGAGAAATGTCCATTGGTAACCACTCTTGAGGGAAACTATTCAGTATGCTCTATTCGAAGGAACCGTTTACCAGCGTTCAGAAAAGTAGCACTGGTGGACCGTGACTAGCGGAACTGCTTTCTTGTAGGAAATTCGCGATCCATCAGAAAACCACTATGCAGACTTCCCACTAAAAATGACTCTTTGTCTACTTTCATTTTCTCCTTGGAGTAAAACTGTTTCTGGAGTTATTCCAAATGTTTATCAGTTTCACCACGAGAGTCCTACGACAATTTACATTTCCTAATAGAATGTCGCGAAATTACCCTGTGTTAATAGGAGTCGACGTCAAATTCACCGGATGATTTCGAACTGGTCCAGCTCTCAACCATAAGTTAGAGGTCTCGTACGAGTTGTTGTACAGTCGTTTACACCAAAAACTTGACATTTTAGAAAAACCAATGAGCAATGTATGCTTTGGGTGATAGAAGTCGGAATGCCGTTTTTCCAGAAAAAATCGAACAGAGAAAAAAATCCCCATCATTATGCTTTAAAAAAATAGAGGTTCACTTAACCCTCAGAAAAGGCATTTACGGAGATAAAAGGGCTCGCTTCGTAAACCTGGACTACAGTAAGTGCCGAAATATTTCTCAGCGTAATATTGGCTTAAAGCAGATGCGTTATGATTGAAAACAAGAGGTGAGAAATAATGGGTTATTGATTGATACGACCAACTTTTAATGAATAACGGCAATTATCCATCTATATACATTGGATGAGGAGTTTGTCCATTTTAAATTGTTATCTCTTGTTGAAGTATGGAGGAATGAGCTGCAAAGGCAGTAGTTTACAAGTGGGCTATTTTGGAAGTGTAATTATGTTACTAACTAGTTCAAAACAACAACCTAGCTACTCATGAGTAGTTGAGCTGAACCCGGACTGATCCTCCTTGTCTCATCTGGCGAGTCCCAGTAATGAGAAAGGCGACTGAACTCCTTGAGATCCGGTCACATTCAATGAGTGGTAGTAGCGCTTTTAGGAAACATTCTGGGGTATCCCAATTTATTGATCTCATGAGTGAAAAACGCCAATAAAAGTTTTGCCGCACAGTGAGTTTGCTTGGCCCCATCCTAGATGATCGTCTTGTTCTATGGCTTTTTGAGCAGGTACGCATTCTGTATGTACGAAATTTGATGTTGCACACTACAGAAGAGGCTCTGCGAGATCACTGCAATCGAGTAATCGGTGCTGTGGATGCAGTCGAACGCGTGAAGAAGATTCGTGATTACGCCTTTGTACACTTTCGAGATCGACTACAGGCCACTGCGGCACTCAGACAACTCGATGGTAAGTCATTTTTAATTACATACAGAACTGCCGCACTTTCGACCGTGTTGTATTGTGTGAGACTCAAGTTTCTTCCCAATGATAAACTGAATTCAAATGCAAAACAAGTGATATTAACCCAAGCTACTGATGGTATTAGACGAGAGTTCAGTTATTAAATGTTACTGCAAGGATTCTTCCGCAGGGTGACCAAAAATTCCAACCGCCGCACCATGTCAGTTCCTTTTTGTTTCTGTTGGCTGAATTTTACGTCAGAAAACCTCAAAGCAAGGCGTTTTTCCTGGGTTGCGCTAAGAATCGCAAACGAACTTCGTCCACCTTCGCTCTCCTAAATGTGTTAGATGATGTTCAACACAAATTTTCGTTTAAAGGAAAGTATTGTGCACTGGTGTTTGTCCAGTGCCACAAAGCCCAAGGTATTGGACCAAGCAGTGGTTTATTAGATACATGCTCTGAATCGTCTTCTGCCAGAGAGTTAGCTGAAGTTTTCTTAGTTACTCGAACTAACACTGAAATAAGTAAAAGACAAGACTGGACTCTGTCATATCCAAATGATGCATTTACTGACGCACAAATGCGGAATGTTGCAGCAGTGTCAAACATGCGTCACAAGACTCAAACTGACCATAATTTTGAAGAAGAACTGAGTGAACCAGTTATGGAATCCGTTTGCCGTTAGGTTTGTGTTTGGGGAGTCACTCACTACGAACTGGTTGTATAGTGAGTGATGAACCAACCAAAAAAGACTAGGCATGTGTGTATAAGACTATCGACAATCGAGGCACTTACCAAAGACTGGGTAGACACTCGAATCCACAACTGGTAACCGATCGATAAAAGGATGTTTTATCTAAAGTATGGCATCCGGGTTTGGGAGACTAGCAATCAAGTATCTGGTGGTATAAGCGAAACCTCATAGATGTGAATATTGTTGGTCTTTGCAGCTATATAATATTCCAAATTCTCATCATAAGAAGAATGCCAAAAGTTAATTTGGAATTGAACTAACTCCGTTCGCTTTACTGAGTAGTGCAGAGTTATTGATCAATAATATCTTAGTCGAGATTGTTTGTTAAATTCCATTCATTTTGGGACTGGTGGGCCCTATTTGATTGGCTCTTTGCTACCGAACTTCATAATTTCTCCCTTCCCCCGATGCAACGGGTAAATCGATGCCCTTGTAATCTAGGCTATTACGGTTCCATAATACAGTGATATCCGAAGCATCTTTAGGAATGACTTGAGTGATAATACAATAAATTGTTAGTATACGCACTCAGAGGGATACTTTGAGAAGAAAACTTCTCGGTAAAGATTATAAGTAATGCAAAGCAGATACAAATCAACCCCCCTAGAAGACAGAATATCACGGAGAAAGGTTTCTAAGTGGAAGATTATTAAACCAACGTTTCACTGGTTACAAGTGTAAACAAACAGACAGCCAGATATTTTCCATCCTCGTATACGTCCTTAAAAATTCATGGACACAATGGATATAGTTTAACCGCTGGGAAAGCATCTTTGTTCATACTGCATATTGGCAGGCTTTGCATTTTCACAACGGTGCTCATCCGCGAGAAGCTGAACTTGTGACCGGGCAATTTTTCAGGGGCTCTCCTAAGCTCACTTTAGTTGTAAGTTCTCTGTTAGGTAACTTAGTTTTTAACTCTCCCCTTGAACTGCCTTTCCTTCAACTGAACGGCTTTATTTCTATGCCCAATAAGACCGGATAGAATGTGCGGAAGTCACATAGGACAGTGGTCAGACAAGAGTGAACTAAAGTTCACTATCAGCTTACTATTTATCGTCCAGCTGGTCTCAGAAATAACGTTACATAACTGGCAATTATGCAGCCATTTACTAGGGGATTCAACCAACTGATGAAATTCTTTCAGTTAAATTTATTCTAGCCGCATTTCAGTCTGGTGAAGTTCCCCTTCAAGGATTTGGTGGTGTGCCGTCACTCTAGACTTCAGGAGCCTCGATTCAGCTACCTAGTATAGAATGCTTTTCCCTTATTCTGGTGGTGGTACCTTCGTGTCCACAGTTGTATATCTCCTGAAAGAACTGTGGGTTGATTAGAGTTTCGATTGTTTATCCATCTACCGCGGATAGTTTGGTACCAACCATCATTAGGAGTGAGGAGAGTAAGGACTTGGGTTGATGCATTCAGATGATGAAAATATAAGTCCGCCTGCTCTGGTTAGCTGTTTGAAGAAGCGAAAAGAATGAGCTGAATTCTGGGTGGAAGATCTTTTTACTTCTGGTTACTTTTACCTCACATTACTTTTACTTGGGTTGAGCTTGTTTCGTTAGTTTAATGACCATTTGGTCTATTGAGGCAGCGCATCTGGAAACCCATTTTGCAAAACTTCAATCTCAACATGCGCTGCACTCACTAATAACCCTGTGGTTTAGTTTGGCCTGTGATCATTAAGATATTGACGCACGATCGCACTGGCGACAAGTTGCTACAGACTCAAAAGCTTAGTGCTTCTCAGAAGAAAGCTTGTGCATATGACTGCAAACCATTTGGTGCGTAAGCACATGATTGCCCTGGTTTACAGGTGTATATTCTAGAGACGTACTTCGTCTCATTGCTCACGTGGTATAAACCTAACGCATTATTTGAACAGTGTAGTGCAAAGGTTTCACAGATAAGTCTGTGCCAACATGCAAGCAATGTGACGAGCGAGAACACAGTGAACTGAAAGGTTCAGGGTAGCTGAGCTGAGAAAGACAGTGCTGACCTAACCCAACACACAAAACCGCTTCCAAGTCATCTAATGAAGCTTCAAATATTGTTTCACACTGACCGCGCTGAGAGTATAAATTTCAAACTAGTTATTAATTTTGATGCTACAGTGTTGGAGTTACTTATCGAAACATATCATTCAAGATATTGAGTCATGGATGGCCGATACCAGCAGCTCCGCCCTTCGCCTGTTATAGTCAATTCGGATGGTCAATTAAAGATCACCCTACACATTCATAACATCCAAACATTGTTTGTAGGCTATGTAAGCACAATTTTCGAACTAACGATTCATACGTCTCCCGTGTGGGCGTACGAGCAGTTGCAGAAGCGTTTTCAAGTCATAATCACCTTATGGATCACGCTCACTTCTGACAATAAACGAATAGTCATGTATACTGTCTGAGAAAAATAATGCTACTGCCTTCAGAAAGCCCTGAATACCTTTCATTGATCAGCATAAAACTGTGTAGTAGATTGCTTCCTATCTCTGATTTAGTCCACTGTATTGGTATGGTAATCTAAACCGATGGTTCAGCTTTTATTTCTTTTGTGCTGCCTTGTAGTTCGTGGAAGGTGGTGTAATGCTATCAACTACAGGATCAAAACTGTCCCATCCGAAAAAGGACCATCAGGCTGATCAAACCGAAATCAATTAATGGTCAACACACATGACGCTCTGAGTTGTTTGTCAAATGGCGCCAAATCTGTTTACCAAGCTTAATAGCTGACCTCAAGACTGTTCCAGAAAAAAACATCAGTCAGCCCACTGATGATGTCTCTCTGAACAGTCAGAAAACGTTCACAAGCCGATTGCCAAGCATCGCAAACAGTAGAAGATGTGTTCAAACTACCAGCTAAACACATTAAGGGTTACCAGTGACCAAGTGTTAGCAATACGGGACTTATATCAAAAGGCCACATCAACCGGTTGATGTAGGTACACCTTCGTCAAAAATGCTCGATTGGATTCCTTGTGGATTTTCGGGGTAGCATGAAATACACTGCAGATTATCTACTCTTCATTCGAAACGACGGACGTTAACACATCACATTCTTCTTCACAATCATTGTAAAAAAATATAAACGTACTGGTGTTTCATCGTTTTGGGAAAAATAATCGATTTAACGATGTTGGCCGAATAGACTTGTCCATGCTTGTCCCTAAGAACTGCGTCCTTAGCGCAATGTGTGGTTATGGAATAGCTCTTTCTAGAGGCTTTTCATCTACTAGCTTTCACAACACTTTGTGATTCAAGGTAATCCAAGGTAATTCAAGGTTTAATGGTCTAAAAAGCATTTAACTTTACAACGACCATAGGGTGAACCTATATATACAAAGGGACACGAAAATATGCGTAATGTTCGCTGAGTATCACATGGAGTTAAACAGTTCCAGGTTCGGTTTGGACATAAGATATGCATCTAACTTGTTCTTGAAAACGGTTAAACTCGGCAAATGTACAACATAGGGAGGTAGGGAGTTCCAAATGAAACATACTCGGACCGCAAAAAAGTTCCGTCGACAGTTCACCCTAGAGTGAGGTACCGCGAGCGAAAAGTCATGCCTCCTGCCCGTTAGTGGTCGACGTTGGACCAATAGATTTTTCAGTGGATGACTAGGTGTCTTCAGTATATTATATGTTACAATTAGGTCTCCCCTGATGCGCCGATAGTAGAAGTCAAATAGGTTGAGACTGGTAATCCTGTCTTCGTATGGTTTATTATGCAATCCAATTACCAGCTTCGTGGCTCGATGATATATTCGCTGTAGAAGAATTATGTCTTTTTGAAGCCATGGTGACCAAGCTTGTATAGCGTATTCCATGGTTGGTCGGATGTAGGTATTGATTACTCGGGGCAGTGCCAGTCGAGTGAAACGACCAAAAATCCGTTTTAGGAGCGACAGGACTTGTGAGGTCCTCTTGTAGACGGCTGTGCATTGCAAGGAGTTTTTTAAACAGCTGCTGACCCACACGCCAAGATCTTTTTCTTCACTAGTCCAAGAAAGTGGTTGTGGACCCAACGTATAGTTATATGCAAAGGGCTTCCCTACACGGAGCATTTTACATTTTTGGAGGTTAAACAGTAGTCTGTTTTTCAGTGACCAATCATAAAGTGTATCGAGATCTTTTTGTAATCGGTGACTGTCTTCAATGGTGCGTATGCTTGACCATATCTTGATATCGTCCACGAATAAAGTGATTTTACTGCTCACGAGCTCAGGTATATGGTTTACGCATAATAAAAATAATGTAGGCCCAAGAACGCAGCCTTGGGGTACTCCACTTGTAGCTGCAATTGGCTTAGACAGAGTGCCGTCAACACATACACGCGCGTCTCGGTCAGCCAAATAGTTTTCAAGCCAAGCCAGCAGCTTTCCCGTAATACCATAATGTTCGAGTTTTTGTAACAATATGTCATGGTTCACGCGATCAAATGCCTTGGAGATGTCTAGATAGCATGCGTGAACGGGATATCCATTGTCCACAGCTTGCGTCCAGTCGTCTAAGGTAATGAGGAGATTTGACAGACAGGATCTGTTTTTTCTGAAACCATGCTGGGCAGCCGAAACCAATCCGTTTTTCTCTAAGTGTTTAATGATTTGGTTTGCCACCAATCGCTCAAGCACTTTGGAGATCACCGGCAACAGAGTCACCGGCCGGTAGTTTGACACGACCGAACGATTACCACCTTTGTATATGGGAGTGATAACGCCCTTCTTCCAGTCGTTGGGAACCACACCGTTATTTAGGGACGAACTGAATAACTCAGCGAGAGGTGTGCATAGGGAATGAGCACACTGCTTGAGGATAAATGGTGTTATCTGATCGGCACCGGGAGGTTTTCTGTGGTTTAGTTCAAGTAACGTTCGGAGTACACATTCTGGAGTCACAATTACTTCATGTAGGGAGGTGGGCGGTAAGGGAGACATAAAACAAAAAAAAATACAAATCGTTCAGCTGTAGCACCCTTCCGGTGCCTAGCTGCCATGCCACCCGGAGGAAGCACGAGGGCTGGGATACTGCCAGGTTGCCCAAGCCTAGACAGGGGAAGTTGAGTGCCGAATGTCGGGTTCGAACCACGGACCTTCTGGTCGGTAAATTTGCGCTCTAACCACTTGGGTTTATATATTCCTTCTGACAGTAAACAGTGGAATAGAACTCGGCCAATTCTTCAGCTGCAGCTGACGCAGTGGCCGTCAGTCCATTTGGGGTATGCAGAGGTGAAATACCAGGTTTCACAGACGCCTTATTATTAATGATCCAATACAGGAGCTTCGGATTTTTTTCCCATTTTCTCTAAAAGCATTAGCTGGTAATCCTTTCTGTCGTTCACGACCAGCGTGCTGACTTTATTTCTTAATAACCGATATTCTTCCCATGTTGTTGTTGTTCGGTGACGTCGGTATTCAGCCCAGGCTGCATTACGCTCCAGAATCCATTTTCGGGTTCTGCTTCGTAACTTAAAATCGAATCCCATCTGAGTATTCTTTGGAACAAAGTTGGAATGCAAACGTATTTTATTGACCAAGTTCCCCATGAAGCTAGACCATTGCTGGTGGACGTCTCGACCTTCTGAATACCAGTCCGTACAATGACTCAGGGTATTTGACAGTGCTTTCGTGTTCACTTTCCTGATCATTTTAAGCTCATCATTAGGTCTCACCGCCGAACAGATATAATCAAAAATGAGAACGACGTGATCACTCGATCCTAATGGACTTTCATATGCGATGTTTTCCACAACGTTCTCTTCGCTTGTTATGATCCAGAACAGAATGGAAGGTATATCTGGTCCTCTATACCGCGTGTTGCATGATATATTGTGAAAATCAAGATCATGTAACGTCTCCAGCACAATCGATCAAGATCATGTAACGTCTCCAGGAAGGCACAATCGAGGTAGCTGAATTTTTGTGTATAGCTCCTGATAGTTGAGTCCATGGCTGATCTGACAACCAATCCGAAGGGTACCTGCAAATTTATCGTTTACACGTCAAAATCTAATGCATCCTTTTAATTGTCATTCACAGGCACGATATTTGAAGGCTCTCAAATTGAGGTTACTTGGGCAAAACCAGTGGATAAGAATGAAAGTGTGCGACTTGGACGAACAGGTCATTCGGGAGCACCGACAGTGATGAACGGACTCCAAAATCTTCACTTGACTACAGGACAGCCGGCAAATATTTTGGAGATCAAAGATCTTGCAAGTCCATTGAACGTAAACTTGTTAGGATTGCCAGTTCGGGACGTGCAACTCAGACTGTCAAACACTGGCATATCCGGTCGACCCACATCTGTGTATCCATTCAACGGCTTCAATAGCGCTGTAACATCACAAGTACCAGCATTCAAACTGACAGGTAATTGTGGCTCATATCAGCCCATTAGTAAGCTCAATGAACTGCGCGATGCTGCTCCGACTGTGGGAAACGGTGCAAGTAATAGAAACAACGTGATAATCCCAACAAATGTAAACACCGTGACACTGGTACACCCTAACATGGGTCAACTGTTCACGAATATCACAAATGGAGGTAATATTTTGGCGTCCCCGCGTATTGCTATGCAAAATCGCGGTTCAAAAAGTTTGCTAGCCGGAACTGCGAACTCTCCTTTAGCTCAACCTCATTGCTCTGGAAACATTGACAGTGCTGCGATTGTTGACCTGTCCCAACAAATGACGTCACTTCCAGTACCAATGATCAACGTGTAAGTGCTTTGGGAGATTTTTTTCATTTTATACTATAACTAAATGCTTCGTCCGCTCCACACAAGACTTCACAGATTTTGTGAAATCTCTTCAAGAAACGAAAAGCGTCAAGGCCAAATTGGTCTTGCTGTTCAGATGAATAAGAAATGGATGTCTCACTGTGTCAGCTAACCCAGGTTGTTATGTGTTTCTGCACTAACCATCGTGTTGTCTAGGTCTTTGTAGGCGTATAGTTTGGGAATGTGTATTTATATGAAAGAACATGACGTGAAAAGCCACTACAGTCACCCCCTCCCAGCTGAATGTCTTTCATATAGTGAGCATACAATCGTAAGAGGTACAAGAAATCTTCCATAAAAACCAGCCCATACAGAGAAGATATAAAAAGTACAAGAAAGGAACGTAGTCGAACGTTGTGCATCCAGATTTATGGCCAAGTTACATTTTTGTATGAACTTGCAGCAGACTAGTGGTCCTCTACCCATATGCATTTTTATTGATTCCCTAGGCTTCAGGGCACTGGGACTTGTGGAGGTTCCACAACATCCCGAAAATGACACTGGCCAGTCAATTGGAAAACATCTGGAGCCGATTTAGAAGTCATCGTTTCAGAAGGGCTTGGTAAATGATCGGTAGTTTTTATTTGGGCCCAGTGCTTGATGGAGCTTTTGTGTCAAAAGCGAAACGTTACCCAACTAAAAACTACCGATTGTTTACTAAGCCGTTCTGAAACGATGACACTTACCAAATCGTTCTACACTTCCTGCAATGCTGTAAAATCTTTGGAAGCAAAGTTTGCAGCTGAACTTGCTGAATCCGAACCCTAAAAGCAGTAAAAAGTCATACATAGTGGACAAATCAGGCGCATTTTTCCCAAATAGCTTACCACATAGCAATGGCTGGATAAAAAATACTGCGAAAAAATAAAACAAAAAGGCATAATACTATGCATTACAATCTGTTTGTTTATTCAACTCAGCAAAACACAGACCAAACCTGCTTGTGTAATCATTCAAGACCAACTGAAACCACAGTGCATCAACGCTAACGTGCAGACCACACTGGACAAGGACGCTTCAGCCAACCTTGTAAAGGTAAGCATAGCTTGTCAATACGCCCAGATACATTTCTCCCACTACCTTCCAAAAGCACAGAAAGTTCGCTTTATGGTAAACAGCTCCGTCACAAACGGGTCGAAACCTAGATTAGTACCTAAACGGCCTTTTTAATAATCTGTGGTGAATCATTTTGTTACGGTTCGGTCACGCAGCGAGAAAACAATAGGATATGCGGATTGTGGCAATACTCTATCCCCAGCTATGTTGCTTGATTCAGACTCTTAGCACGGCGGCTAGTAAGAAGACAAAAAACCCCGGACAGAAACTTTAATGATCCAAAAACACGCGATCAACAGGCGATGCCCCGAGCTTCCGAACACAAGTCAGTAAAAAGATGGTATCGTGTGAGTAAGTGGTCGGAATAGCAATAGGCCATTGATTTATTCATAGTTTGACCTTGAAGATGCCGGAAGTTCGCTGGCACACATAAAAATACAGCGTTTTGGGGGGCATATTGATATCCCCAACACATTTACATGGAGGTTACGGTTGTCGTCATTTTTGAAGTAACTGGTTTTACGCTAGCACAAAGAGATTCTGTCGGAAAGTGCATTATAGGCCTTTTCAGCATGTGGCAGACACACAGGATCGTCGTTACTGGACCGTGAAAAAGATCCTCAGTGGCTGACTTTCTACCGGACGAAACCAAACATACCACAAGTGCTAATTTCATTTACAGTAATTACATTAATGTACTATGGTTAAGTTTTGATTGCATTCATAGTGAGCTTTGTTTCTGAAGTGTGCGATACGTTTTGAAAACGACCTATGATGAATCCCGCTGCGCACGTGAGAGAAATTGATTTGCACTTGAGATGAGAAAAGTTGTGATCACCGATACCTGCAGCAGAAAGAGGTCACAATTTGAAGAACAATGAGATTACTGGCTTACGATGTCCCGCATTAACAGTGTGTGGCGAAGTCTCAAAATAAAGCCTTATTCAAGATGGAATCCTCTAAGCACTAATCCTCTGAGCAGATCTACTACGAAGAATTTTTCAGGTACTAACGAACACAGACGATTTGTTGGTCGATTTCAGGCTGTTTATAGGTGAGGTTGTAGGATGTTATCAAAGACTAGCCACCATCATCTACGGTAGCAACACTGGTGTTGAACCCCTGGTGTTGCTGTTGTTCATTCTAGTCAGACAATTAAAATGTATGTCCAAACGGGAGGAACATATAAGAGGCGTCGCATTGCAAACACTCACTGACTTGGAAAATGCGGATTGAAATGGGCAAACTGAACCTCATTGGAACTTGCTTACAGCCTCACCAAGCAGTGGTTCTAACGAAACGCTTTGTTCCTGATAGCACCGAGAATTTTCAGAATTCCTTACATGTGTGCATTTCTATGAATTTTGTACAAGAAATATGACTCTACATGGCAGATGACAGCTTGGCTTACGTATTCTTAAATTCACGATAAATGTCTTGTACACCAGCACTCGGACAAATGGACTTACAGGAAGGACCAAATCAGATACTGAGACTACTGATTCTTGGCACTATATTACAATTAATATATTTGAAGTGCCTGTCAAGACTCTTCGTTGAAAAATGTGTGAACGGGAAAGTACACTTCAACGGTGAGAGGTTCCTGTGGCAGTCTGATCTGCCGAACTGGTGTGCTCAATTTAGGTAATGTTCCGTATTATAAGAAAGCTCAAGTGCTACGATGGAAATGATTACGCTTATTCAAAGTCTCACAGAAGTTGGCGTTGTACAGAAAATTTCCTGTAGTCTTGCGTCAGTAGCACGTTTAACTAGCCTGCTCGACTGTGGTTGAGTAAGGCGAAGTATTAGACGGAGCACACTACTCTAAGGTTGCCGAACACTTCGGTAGACCACGACCGGCTTGGTCCTCCTTAGAGCCAATCAGTTTGGTGAAGTCCCCAAGTTTCCGTCAATTTATGTTTTCATTGAACCGTAATTGCCGTAATCAGATGGCGTATACTCTGTAAGACATGTGGATATGAGCCGAAGGAAAAGAGAGGACGTGAATTTACAGACCTTCAGACGAAAGCTTCTGGAAGCTGGACCAGACGGTTTAATGTTCATTTTTTGAGGACACTAGGGTCGGATTTGTAGATAGCGATTTTCAAAAGCAATTTCACCGGAACTTGGCATGAACTCCACAAGGCAATTTAGTCTTTAGGCGCACTGAAAGCTATGTTATCTACCGCACCATTAAAATTGGACATGAAGAAGTGTCTTCTGAAAAAGCGGTTGTCCCCAGGATCTTAATGACATGATTGAACAGCAGACGTTTTATGATGAATGCGTATTTCAAGTCATCAATGAGTAGCTACCAACAAGAAACTAACCCAGGATAAGTCATTCCACAAGAGCCGCCTTTGATTGTTGCCCGAACTTCTGAAATTTTGAAAGGAGCATACACCTTTACAAGTAGCAGAACGATTTTAAATCGTTTGGGTGAATTACATCGACTCCATTTTCAGCAAGTGTTACTGTGATCCAGTCGTTTATCGAAGTCCTCAGGTTGTTCGTAGATGCAGGTTCCGTGAATGCTGTTAGCTGGAACCGTTCTTTCAAGGCGCCGGAATGGTGAGAAAGCTGACTGATAATTATGGACAAACAGTACTTGTGGATATCATCGACAAAACAGTTAGATGTCAGCATATGTGTAGACCTGCCCTTTTGCCAGATTTGACTATGGACATTTCCACTTTTGATGTTGAGGGGAAATGAACTTCCCTCAGATTTAGACAAAAGAAGCAGAACTGAGATACATATGGGATCTCGAGACGGCGCTTTTAATGTGAGCAGATTCCGTCGTATAATTCCCAGGATGAAAATCACCGGCAATGGAAATGTTTTGTTTTCAGTGGTGTACGTGTAGAGAAAGACAGAGTTGCAGTACAAAACATCCAGGTATAGTGATGTCTTGCTGCATACTGTACTGTCCCTATGAGTTCATTCGATGTCGTTAGAAGTAGACGCCATCCAATGGCGTTTTTTATAAAGAAGGTTGTGCCTCCAAATGAATCGATTTGTGATTCTACTTTGGTACTCGGCTTTGTGTTTGAGAAGTAATCGTGTAAACCGGTTGCAAAGGTTGGCATAGGTAGACCATGTGAAATTACTTGGATCCTTTTCGTAAAGCCTATTTCATAAATGTTATTCTTTTTTCTCGTTATGAACCACAGTTTCCCGGTAGAATGGACTGACTTTGTTTTGCCGACATGATCAACTAGGAGCCTCAGTCTTACCATAAATATTTTCTAAGTGATTCCTGCTTGTACTGTGACCAGGAACGTCCTGTCTCCAGTTAGGCTCGCTAGGGTAATGTAGAGAGTAATCGCATAGATTCTTTCGAAAAGATGTGTAACAAGCATATCCAAATTTCAGCACTGTGTGGTCACTCTGTTGAAGAGAATGTTTAAGCACTGACAGTTGAAATAACACCCGTATAAATGGTACGTTCCGGGAGGCGAATCTCCTCAGTCTGTAAACATGAGTGAATAGTGAGTGCCCGGTGATCAGATCGTACAACTGAAATGTGCACCTGGCGCACAGGTAAACGTGACTGAATCTTCCAAGCAGCAGAAATGAAGGTTCAAGGTACAGAATCATCCATTGCCTAGACTAAGTAGTGTACTAAATTTAGAAGATCACTTGTAACTATACGGATTGTGCACCATAAATCAGACTACAAGACAAAATTTCTCAGTGATACAGGAGTCTGCCTCCCCCTCGTGATCAACCATTTTCACTAATTGGCGGCACCCAAGGGAGTACAAATGCAGTTCCAGTAGCGTCATCAAACTGTCGGATAACGGCCACAAATTTTTATCNGATACAGGAGTCTGCCTCCCCCTCGTGATCAACCATTTTCACTAATTGGCGGCACCCAAGGGAGTACAAATGCAGTTCCAGTAGCGTCATCAAACTGTCGGATAACGGCCACAAATTTTTATCCCGTAAATTGGTAATTTGTCCTAGGAAAATACAGACATTATGCAACGGTATAGTAATGTGATTGCTAATTCTTTTTTGCCAATGTCCCTGACAAGGCAGATAAGAAAAAAGTTTGACGTTTATCAAACCAAACCAAATAACATAAAAGAGAGATCTAGATGGTGTTCAGTTGAATCACCTGTTAACAACGACATTCTTCGCAGATGAGTTTTCTATTCGTCTCTTCCCCCTTCCCAACAGTTACTTCACGCCCTATGCTTGAAACAAAATATTGGAGCTCCAAAACTGACAACCCACACCCATGAAATCTACGACCCAGTCGTTGGGAGAAAAACCATGATGTTTACAGTTCAGGTCAGTCAACTGATGAATAAGTGAACTCTTACTGAAGGCAAGCATTCATAAAGCATTTCCTCACACATCTTACCCATGGGTTGAGGGTAGAATGAATTTTTACTACTGTATCTCTGCGTGATCGTTTAAGTCTGCTTTCGCGAGATCATTTGTCCACAGACCGACTTGTACAGCTGAATCCGACATCCAGATGTCTCCAAGCTACTTTAGATTCTAATCATCTGGAGCCATTGTAGAGCACTTGTATACCGATTACGTGTCTACCTAAAAACCGCGTGGTCTCCATTGAAGATGTATTTGGGAAGGAATAGGTTCCGTGTCTGCATGTCTGAAATATCAGATCACGTCACCTGGAAGTGCAAGCTTCTAATTAGTGATAATCGGTCTGGATAGTCCGGAATGCTTAATTTCCGAATGATATTATCACAGACAGGGGTTTTTAACGGCTGTATTCACCAGGATGCCTTTGTGATGTCATGAGGAGCAATTCTCCGCTGTGGTGAGCGGAAACGTAGCAGAGTATTATTACGAGTTTTACTATTGCTACGATTATTAATATGACACATTCTCTTAGCTATGTATAATAGTTCAGATGCGGAGCTGCCTCCACAAGCTTCGTCTACCTCAGAAGTTCTTGGTAAGTTTTCCAGAATCTTTATTTTTCGACCGGTTTAATTCCGGGCTTGAACTTTATTGAGAGTCTACGAAAACCATGTCTTCTATTTAATCAAGCATTTGAAAGTAAAAATCAAGTGGCTGCAAAAACCTCAAAAAAAAATTCAAAAAACTCAAACAACTGCAAACCTCAAAAAACTGGTAAGTGATATGCGAAATGAATGAACCAAAATAAAGGCACTTTTTGTGTGCTAACTTACTGTAAGAACATTTCCTCTCACCCGTAAGACCTATAATATTTCAACGGTTTTTTGCTCAGGGTTGCAAAAGTCCATAATGTCTAGTAACTATCTAGGCTTAGGCAGACGTATTCAGCAAGTCTTACTTCATTTAAGATGGGACGGAAATAGGTCAGAACAACGGATGGCTGTTACACATTTGCGCACACTATACCAGCGTGAATAAACTTACAAAAACCCTATTAGTATAACAAGGTCACCACATTCTTTAACCTGGAGTGTATCGACCTAAATATGGAATTTATCTGGCCATCTGTTTACGGATATGGCGCAGGTACTTCGGTGCATGTTTGTAAATTTAGAAGTAACCGAGATATGTCTCAGTAGTTAAATGTGTGATAAGTCACTCCCATTGACACGTGACACTTGTGAATTTAGGCAAGATATAATCAGCATAGCTGTCGTCACTTCTTTGATGGCTGTCCGGAAAGTCCTTTGTGAGTTAGAAGTGAACACGTTTTCTAGGACGTACAGGGTGCGCGATTTCTTCCCAATCGTCTTCACTATCGAAAATACCATTCTGGAACAGCGGTGCTTCACTGCCGTACAGGCATGTCAGCTTACTCAAATAATGCCTTTTGATGGAACCAGTGAGGGGAGATCCAAAGCTGGTCTATAAGAGGAAGGCTAAGATTTCACTGCTTTTTTTCGTACTCCAGAAGTTTCCGGTTGTCGCTATTTTCAGGTATTCCTGCCCGGGTTACAAAGGCATTTCTTTTCACCCACTCCTTTGCCTACATTGGATGAAGCAACCAAAGCGGTGGTTGGTGCTGCAATGCAGTGGTTGTTTTCACACTGTTCACTAACGCAAATGCCATGCAGAGCAGTGATGTCTCAAAGTTCTGGTCGAGTGATGAGCAAAGAGAACGACCGTACAATTATGGCATGCAAGAAATCTCCTATCATCCTAGAATCACCCAATGATCCGACGTTTAACTCACAGTCGACTGTTCTGTACAAATTAATCGACAGTCCCAGCAAGCAAAGCGCCGGTTTGATTGGTGAATCACAAAAACCCATCCAAATATCGTTTTCAAGTTCTCAGAATGATGTACAGAAGTCAAGTGAGTGTTTTGTGCAACCGAAGGAAAGCTGTGCCTTGTCTGGAAGAGCTATAACTGACCAGGATACACAAGGAATTAACAACATGGGGGAGATCGTGAACAAACCTCTTTTCCCTGGACGTGAATTTAACGTCGTGGATGGTAGACGTAAGTGAGGATTTTCTTTACTTTCAGCTCGATCAATCAATTACTATGAATCACTTTTACTGTTTCTCATCGTAGCATTGGAAGCGAATAGAGTGTAGTGACGGTCATTCAATGTGAGTCGGTGTTGATGGACTTCTTGATTGACAGTCGGTGGCTGATTATCAAGCACAATCAGCCGAATAGTAGAAGGCCAAAACTCCTACTTGTAAGACTGCGGTCTCAACTCTCCACAGAGATCCATGATATGTGCGTTTCTGACAATACTTGCAAACGGTGAGACAGTTGTACGGCTCTTCCAGGCCTTTGAAAATAGGACCAATAAGTATGAAGCTGAACCAGTTAGTTTTGGGTTTTGCACCGGATAACGCAATAAAGCATTTCGAAAATCAAAGTTTGTATTTCCGTGGGTAACTTCTGCCCTCATTTCCAAAAGCCATTACTGGAAACAGGGAAGCACAATTGAGGGTACTACTTTTCTTAGAGCCTGGAAGATTGAACAACGTGAGAAGCAAGGTACATCTAGTTGAGAATGAGTAGCAGCGTACAGTGAAACCAGTTACACTCATCGTGGGTTTTGAAGATTTCAGGTTACCGTCCCCTGATATGGTTTACACTTGGAAACCGGCTCAAGCAACACACCCAGAGTAGTTTCTCAATCGGTGGGTCTCGATGCAGAGAAAGGACAAAACTACACCAACATCATCCGCCAGACGATGGGTATTTTCAGATAATTGTCGTCAGATCATATCTGAATGTGTATGTAATAGTCTCCAAACGACTGTTCTCGGCTTTGGACCTAAACGTATCAATACTGCTAATCTGTGGGAGGATAAATGTCATTGATTGATCCTGCGAGTTAGCGTACAAGTTGTTCCCTGTTACCTATAGATACCCTGATATGAATTCCCGCATCTTGACCGACTGAATTAATTATCTCTCGACCCGAAGTTAGCCTGTTCCAGTTCTTCAAATCGTAGGTTGTCTCTGGAGGCCTTGTGGAATTTGATTCTCAATCAACCCCAGGTTTTCGGCTCGTCCGTCGTCGAACCTTCGTTAGTCGTTAGAATGCCCATTCGTGTTCCAACGTCTAGTCCCGCTCGTTCATGTCTGCAGCACAGGGGAGCCTTTTATCCGCGTACGGAGCGAGGTTGCTTGTTGATGTTCGTGTTTGATAATTTGGCAGTATCTCTACTCTCGTGCTTTTTAAGGGTGTCATGGCAGCTAGATAGTAAAAGTATGTTACAACTGAACTTTTATTTTTTCTCGAATAACACTTTTGACGAATGCTGAACAAAAAGACTAACTCTGATGCGAGTTTTATTTGTCATCCATACAAACGCTTTTGTAAACTTCTCGGAATCCCTTTTCGCCCAGGGAATTACATAATAGTATAAGGCAACAAATCCCGAATAGGTAACAGCTATTACGTTTTTCTCTTTTTAGGGGTAAAGCTGGATGACCTTCGCTGCACTGCCGAATTGGGAATTTGTAGACATTTAACAACCACCTCAAATAACTTTGTTGACGGTCTGATGCAGAGAACAGACCCAAAAACGTTGTGTCCTGCACATAGTCTTTTGTCAAAACAAACGGATATTCACGTGTACGACGTGTGTGAGGCATCAACACAAAGTGGTGACCTTGTACCTTCTTACTCCGAACATGATAGGTTGGTTGGTCCAGGTAACAGCTTTTTTCAGGTGGGTACCTACCACCAGTTTTCACCAGTCACTACTTCGGACAGTCGTGCCATCCATTCAAACAAACCTGAGGCCCTGTTTCTGGACAATGGCTGCAGGGCCAACGAAGACCGGTCAAATATAAGCTCAAATCAACCTAAAACGCTGCAACCATTACGAAACTTGGATGCTTATTCTTGGAGTACCACACGAGGCGAACAGTTATCCCATAGCTTTGCGACTAGCTACTTGGAACAGGGACAGTCCATCACGAATGGAGAGACATATAACCAGCAATTTCATATGGTGAAGGAAGTCGGTTGTGAGTCGACCCCTACGCATCAAGGTCCAGTGCAGCTCACCGGTGCAAGAGATAATACCGAACACTTTAAAAACCCAACAACACCAGTCAATGCAACTCAGGAGCTGCACCGTACCACCAAAGCAGGAAGTCCTCGAGAAGCGCGCAGTGTTGTGGAAATGGCGGGTGACGTCTCGCACCGGGACCAGACTGTCCGCTTAAACGAACAATACTGGCAGAATTGTACGATTGGTAAGCTACCTGAAGAATTATCAAGCGGCACTATACAATACATCAGTACTAAAGTGACAAGAAATAACAATGATCACGTGATATCCACTTCACAGAATCATTCTTTGGAATGTGTGTCTGGATCGCTTATTTATCAAGAGCACTTTTAGAATTGCTGAATCATAGGATACTCGATTTTTTCTATCCACAAGGTTACGACCCACCAATTCTTTCGTTTGCCTTCGTTAGTTATATTTGTGATCTTTTCTCCCATTTTGTTTTGCTGATTTTGTTTTCTAAAAACTTTATCAACTGACCTGATATCCGTCAAAATGCCTGCACTAGACATTTATGAAATCCATCAATCTTTTCAAACAAGGATAATCAAAAAGCAGCGTGGAATCATTTGCAATAATCCATGTGTCGGTTCCTCTGCTGATTCCGGACTAATAAGGTGTCCGACGTTGATCAGACAAAGCTGATCAGAAATTGTCCAATCAGATTGCATCCAACAAAATTCTCCCAACACATGGATGCGAATCACCATGTTCGGCATCATGACATACTTCGTCCTTGACCTTCATTTTCTTAGCCAATTTAAGCCAGTTTTAATTTGTTCAGCCTCAATTACTGTCGTGGCTTCGAAAAACTGCTCGAATCCTCCCTTAACAAATGAGATATTAGTTTCTTTCACTCCGACTACTATCCCTCTTGGGCATGTTATAGGGTTCAACAAACTTGTTCGCAGTTCTGAAACTTCCAAAACTTTTGTTCATTCTTTATGTTTTCTAATATCCCTCTGTGATTATGCTCATGTGTTGATGAGTGCCATCAGTTCTGTTGAGGGATCGTTAGCGTTTCTGTTCATCTGGACGGTGTGTTTACTTTTTGCCTACTTGTGAATGTAAACCTTTCGTGCTTCAAGTTGATCCATCAAAACAAGAATAGCTTTAATTGGCGGAATTCCAAAGGGCCGCCAACCTGTTTTAGATATGTGATAATTTTAGTTCAGGGCCTATTATTCTTCCCTCCATAAGGGACACCGTATCAACATAGCTTATTCTTTTGAATGTTACCCACCTTTACTGAAGTTCACACCGCATGTTTACTTGCTGGTCCTCCTCGTGCATTCGCTTGAATTTGGTGTAGGGTTCACTATAATATTCGTCATAATACTGTCTTCTGAAATATCCATATGATTGGCTCGAAATAGTTTTTTTTGGGAGACCGTATGCATATACAAGTCCAGCGCTGCGAATATTGACTTCGCACTGGCTCCATGAGTGCGTCGATTGTGGAACAGTTTTGTGTACGGATTATAGTAGTCAGTCAATCAGTTTATCAGCTATAAACCATGTGACAGGGTAAGTTGGTCACTGGAGAAACAGACAATGTGGGTAATATAGCCAAGCATTGGAGGCGATGGCATGATCACTTAGTTCTGAGTGAGAGGTTTCCAGGCCGTTAACTATTTGGTGTACGATTTTTGGCTGACGTGTTGGGTTGTGTGGTATTTCCTGTGTAAACACTATACCCGTTCCCGTGTCCGTACATTTATAGTACAGTCATATTAGACCGGTTCACTCCAGCAAGCAGCAAAATCAACTGTTCGTGGGGAAGTAATCCCTATTAGAGGATCGATAACAATTCGTATGTTTCTCTTGAGTCCTGTAGATTTTATCCCCGGAAATAATAAATCAGTCGCACCTATTGCACTCATCGATGCGTTTAACGAGGCACTCATCGGAAGATGCCTTCGGGAATGCCTTCTCCCAAGAAACGTGAAACTGAGTGCCAAAAAGCTTGAAATTACTTCATTCTAGCAGCACCTGTTTCAGAACTTTTTTCTTCCACGCACTGTGTACATAAAGTTTTCAAACGTGGCGAAAATCGGCATCATATCATGTTGATGCCTTGTTCATTCGCACCAACATATTTTCGCTTCCTTAGGCATCAATGACTCTATCTGTCACCTGATTGTGATAAATAAGCCATTGTTGGCTAACTCACATCACAAACGAAGGCGAAGTTCCGTCCCACGTTTATTGCACGCATCCATGTAGTTCTTAAGGCAACAATCGTTGAATAGCTGGAAAATACTGTCAGAATGTTATTCATTGAGCAAGCTGTATAAATTAGTGAGGCTGTCACACTCACTCAATTGTGCGCCGATCTGGGGAGCGTGAGAAGCTACGTAAAATTAAATAAAGGGTCCCATTCGACTTCATAGCCAGTGGGTAAGATTTTGGCATGTGCACGCTCAAGTGACTGCTTACCAACCACACGCCGTGGCAAGTTTCCACAGTATGTCTATCGATGGGGCACTGAAAACATTCAACGACATTGCTTGCCTCATTCAAAATAGCATGGGCAGAGAGGTGGTCAACCCCTGACCTGGCAGAGGGGTACAAACTATGAAACGTCTGGGTGCTGTCGGCGCTAATCGCCTTCCAGGATTGGACCGCATGATCCTCACTGCGCCTGGTTGGAGACACTGCAGGATATGGCTTCCAATCTTCTAGTCAATTTCCATCCAGATTGCCTGAATGAGTGTCTGGAGATGTAGACAACCCGGAACGATTGCAGTAAGCTAGCAGTATGTCCCTTTCTCGTCCACATTTGTTCTCTTTTTGCAATCACGCTTTCAAATAAATCATGTCAGTACGACAGCGAAGCATGTGTTGAGCACTAGTGTCATATTGTCGATGATGATGATGATGGCGATGATGATGACTGAAGATGATTGATGATGGTGAGCATGATGATTGATGACGATTGATGAGGATTGATGATGATGGTGATTGATGATGATGATGATGATGA